GTATCTCTGTACATAATAATCAATTTCAGTGTATTACCTATTTTAAGGCAATATTTTTCTATCTGGATTACAACATCCCATGAAACAAGAACTATCAGGTGTACAAATTAGATTTACAAGAGACAGAAGCATCATATTGCTAACTTCTGATTGATAATGGAAAAGGCAAGGAAATACCAATAGATGTCCATTATTAGATAGATTGTAAATGCAGAATATACTATGAAAAAGTCTAGACTAGAAGCAATTAGAATTAAAATTACTGGTAGAAACACCCATACTCTCAATTGTTGTAATGTTATTTTAATGGCTGGTGGTTAGAAAGATTTAAAGACTCTCTTGTTAAAGCTGAAAGAAGAATGCAAAAATCTAATATGCTGCTCTGTATTAAAGAAAGAAAGAAAAGAAACAGCAACTAAAATTATGTCAACAGGTAACACCAACCCAATCAAAAGAGGTGGTGTTAAAGTAGAAGTTGCAATCTTCTTAGAATCAAAAATTTACAGAAGTGGTGATAATAGCCATAGAAATAGATGTTCACAGCTTGAGAAAAAAGACTATGACAGATCTGTATGAAATATTAAAATGCATACTCATCACAGTGACAACAAAAGTATGTATTGCCAAGACTGTAGTTTTCTCAGTTATAATATATAGCTTGACCATCAGACAGGATAAATGAAAAAAATATTTGAATTGTGGTACAGATTAATTTTTTTGAGAATAACTGGAATTACAAACATAACAAATACTATATTGAAAGAAAGTTCTCCTTGACACTAGAAGCACCGTTATGGAAACTAAAGTTTATATATTTTGCATGCATGACACAAAAGCAATATTTTTTTGTAAAATATCCTGTTGTAACAATCGGTTTTTGATATAATTTTTTAAATATGCAAGCAGACTAAGCACATTCTAATCTCAAAATAAACTGGTTTATCATTCTTCTAAAATGTGCCATAGTAGGAACACTACCATATCTACTTTTATAAATCAAAATTAAAGAAGAAGAAAAGCAAGCCTCTGGGAAGTTAAAAAAAAAATCAAACTTAGAATCTGAACTGATTGCAAAGAACTTTTGAAATTATATTGATAGTTATATATTGCCTACTCCTTAATGCAGTAGAAGGTTAATGTGAAGAAATACAGGAGGACTTTTTTTTTCACAACTAGAGGTTTTTTTCTTGATAAGGATAATAAGAACAAGAATAATGTTTTTGACTTATTTATTTAATTCAGTTCTCTGTTTATTCAGTTCAGTTCTCCATCCTGTTTTAGAACTTGTTTGGAGAACAGATCATGTTTTAAGTTACATTTAGATAGAAATACTGAACATTCAAAAGATTCAAAAGGATTCACAGCATCACGGTATGTCTGAGCCACATTTGTGTTTTAGATTCTACTCTAGCCAAATAAAAAAGAAATTTGTTCTATATAGAAATCCTCACTGCAAATATATAAGCCTTGAACACAAAGTTAATAGACAAGTGGGAATGTCTCATGTGCAATTATGCAAATTGGTATCCTACAGTTGTTCTTAATTTTGACCTTTGTGATTTTGAAATAGCATAAACAGCTAGAAAGTGTTACACAAATAACCCTTGCAATGGACCATATGATCACATTGTCTTTTTATAAAGTTATACAAAAGATAAGTAGCCTCAAGCAAACCTTTGTGTACCCATACATTTTTAGACTTTTTTTTTCTTTGAAAGGACAAATGATAAGACTATTTCTGTTAATATTTAATCCAGTAAATTTTCACCGAGAGTGAAAAACTTAAATGCATTCCCAGAAAAATCCATGGTAAAATTCTTTTATAACCCTATTATTTTCACTAGTACACTCATCACCCATAGTCTCCACTAGTTACAAATGTAATGGAAATGTAAAGGGAAAATATAGAATGTAAATTCCAATGGCAGATATTGGGGCCATGTAGGCACATGTTTCCATCATATATTTATTTCATGAGTGGTGGCATTTGAGTGAATGTATTATTTATGCTGCTATGCAAAAAGAGAAATAAAAGTTGTTATTGTGTTTCATTATGAAGAGCATTATTGAAATACCTTAAATTTAATTATAGGTACAAATTAGTAATTATACTGCTGAACGGTCTCTTTTTTCCAGTTTTACTAGAAAATTCTTAGGTGTAATATGGTAACAAATAACCACAAGAATTTACATGGTTTTGTTTTCATGCTTGGGATCATGAAGACATTTATTTCCAATTCATTTTAGAAGCACATATGAAGACTTCAAACTAGGAATCTGGCAGCTCAATAAGCTACAAAGTAATTGGTTAAGAAATGAAAAATATGACTTTTTCCCCCATAGTCACTGAGCATTTCCCCAAAATCTTAGACAGCGCTGCAGTTCCAATATACAATATATTGAGGGCACCAGTTTGAATAACTTGCCCTAAAGATGTGTGTGTGTGTGTGTGTGTGTGTGTGTGTGTGTACATATGTATATATGTATATATGTATATATACATGTATCTGTATGTATATTTAAATAGTTGTATTTCATCAAATTCTTGAATTTGAATTTTTGAAGGAAGCTAGCTCAAAACTGATATTATAAAACAAGTTAGCTTTTGGCCATCTGTTTATCTGAATATATCGGTATGTATGTGTTGTGTTTGTTCATGCACACTCTTTATTTTCTCTTTTTTAAAAACAAACAGCTTGTATTTTCCAATCTCATCGCTATTTCAGATAAATGTAAAAATAATTAGTGTAGCAAATATTAAATCTTCTAAAGGCTCACACTAAATTAAGTAAAGCACTGCTTATGTGCAGCTAAGACTACAGTCTGAAGGAAGAAATTTCCTCCACACAATAGAGATTAAATACACTGTGTGCATACTGTATTCTTTAGCTCAGTCCTCAGCATTCCGAATAGGAGCTCTGCTAGTTTTTATCTTGAGCAGCTTTTTCTTGATGATTTTCATGCCTGATTTTACCTACCCAAGTGGCAGTGACACCAGCTTTCACCGAAGCCTTATTATCCTTAAAAGAGCAATTTGGTTGGCTGCACGGCTATTAGGATCAGACAGTGAGGCTTAAAGCTGTCAGTGCAACTGCTTCTCATCTGTTCTTTATCCCTTCTCTCTCTGTGTCTTTCACCCTCCACAATCATGACATCTTCTCTCTTTTCTATTGGACATTGGCATTAATGTTTTTATCATTCTCAATCGCACTCACAGTGAAAGCTATTTTTGCCGAAGCCAAAGTGAGAAGCGAGAAATTCTTTTACAGCTCTTCTAGAAGCAGCAGTGCTGCCTGCACATCGTGGATGGGAGATGCTGGATCAGAAGAAAATGTGGCATTCCTCAGGGCTACATCACTAGATGTTACCTCAGAATGGCAAAGCCTTTCCTTCTGCTGCTTTTCACCTGATTAATATTCTTTTCCAACCAAATGGAAAATAGAGAAAATAAGGGGGGAAATGTAAGGGGGCAAAATTGTGGAAAATAACTTGTGGAAATGCTATCATCAGAAAGACAGAGGGAAAATACAGTGCTTGAACTTCTTTTTATTTTGATGTTGCTCTTCTCTGAATCAACTCTTACCAAGCTAAGCAGGACCAAGGGCAAGCACTGGAAGGGGGGTAAGTGATAAAAAGTTTCATAAGGGCTGCCTTTGAAAATCTTGAATTTATCTGTCACAGTAGTAATAAATATGCTTGCTTAAAGGTTTTCATTTCCCTCTGTACTTCAAAATAATTAAGTAGAACTGAATTGCCTGTGTGTTTTAATGTGTAAAGCTTTGGTTTTTAAATGGAGATTATGAATTTAAATAATGCAGGGGGATCATTGGAAGGTTCCATATATATCAGTCTCTCTCTCTCTCTCTCTATATATATATATATATAGACTGAGAAGCTAAAAGATCATGCGAAGTGATGCAGATGTAGTTGTGTTATCTTTCAGGGCACCATCACTCCTGAGGCTGACCTGTTTTGTTCCAAGGAAAAGAAAGAGCACTTCTGCCTGCTTAACAGATAACATTGCTAGTACATATTATGAAAACATTAGACAGATATTTTTGAGAATATGACTCCTAAAGAAATGCAGCACCAGCATTATTGACAGGCTGATGGACTGTATCAATGTTGATGTGTTAATAAAGATAAAGTGCATTAACTTCATTGAATTTCTTTTTGCTGTGCTAACAGAAAGATACTTAACAGCTTTTGAGAACTGTTTTTCTTCCTTGCTTATAAACTTGATACACAAGCTCTGTAGGTTTCACCAAATATAACCTTTTACGTAAATTTTAATTTGCTTTTCAGAAGATATTTATGGAAAAGCATGTTGGAAATAGAAATAAGTGATATTGAAGTATGGCTGTGAATGTTAATTCTATAATACCAATACCTTGGAAAATGTGCTTGTGTTAAATGTTTGACAGCATTTTTTTTAACTTCACAACTGTTCTCTCTGTAATTGTTTCCTTATATTGTTGATTGGATGTACCACATGACTTATGTTTCTCCTAAGTTGATTTCTGCTTTAATAGCACTTTCCATTTTCCTCTTCTGTCAGTATTGTGATCTGAGGTTAAAGAGTAACATCAACATTAAGAAGTTTTAATAATTCATCACAATATCTCAGCAGGAGACTCCCATTCTACCCTGCTTCCTCCTCCCTTCCCTTTCATCACATGAAAGACTTTACAAACCATCCACGTGCTGTAGCTTCAAGGGAATTGTTTCAGCAGGAAATTAGCCTGAACTGTGTAAAAGCATAAAGTAGCCAAAAGATTATGGATCTCTGTCCTTTCTTCTTTATGCTAGCAAAATTATGTTCAGCTTGTGATAGATTCTCCAATGCCATAACCTTATATATATTGGGTGCTTATGCACATGTACCTACTGTGTTCCTATTTGCTGTTATCCAGCAGGAAGTAGAGGAAGAAAGATATGTGTATGTTTGTGTATGTGTCTATGCATGTGTATATTTACAACACACACACACATGTACAATACAAGTAATTGTTGGGTCATATAGTAGTTTATGCCAAATTATGTTACACAACAGATAATAGTTCTGCCTTCTTATAGACGTCTATACAAACATGGCATCTCTGGATTTTAGATTTATTGATGAGACAAAAGTTATTGCTTGATGCTTATAGTTAGGTATGAACCATTATGTGTGTGTGTTTTTCCATAGATTATAAGGTCTTTCTTGTTGTCAGCATTTGATTATTTCAATATGAAAAGATTGTACATATTTGTTGTGATGCATGATAATAGCAGATTTTGTCTGAGATAAATTCCATGATAAAGAAATTGGATTCCTTCCTTCCTTCCTTCCTTCCTTCCTTCCTTCCTTCCTTCCTTC